TTTATGTTGATGATTACAATTATTATTATTAGTTTTATGTTGATGATTACAATTACTATTGCAATTATTATAATACTAATGCTAATACTATTACAATTATTATTGCGATTATTAGTATTCCTATTATTATTACCATTATTATTACTACAATTATTACAATTATTATTACAATTATTATTACAATTATTATTACAATTATTATAATACTAATGCTAATACTATTACAATTATTATTGCGATTATTAGTATTCCTATTATTATTACCATTATTATTACTACAATTATTACAATTATTATTACAATTATTATTACAATTATTATTACAATTATAATACTAATGCTAATACTATTATAATTATTATTGCGATTATTAGTATTACTATTATTACCATTATTATTACTACAATTATTACCATTATTATTACTACAATTATTATTACAATTATTATTACAATTATTATTACATTTATTATTACAATTATTATTATTACCATTATTATTACTATGATTATTATTATGGACATCATGTGACCTTCGGGCAGGCCCACCGCCCGCCTCCTCTTCATGATAGTCACACGGTCAAAATTTTGTCCACCTGCCTCGTATTTACGACGGTCGCAGTGTCCCCGTGGCCCCACGATCCGCTTTGGCAGCCTTCTGACCAGTGACGGGTCAGGCTGATTCGCTTAACGACCAGGTTGCCCACTTCACAACTGCAGCATCTCCCGTAGCCACGGCGCCAAGCAAGATCATAAAATGGATCCGAACTCCCTGAAGCACCGCCTCGCTTAGCAACAGAAATTGTGGTCGTAAGTCGAGGACGGCCCGTATCACATTGGGCAGGGCGAACGCCCACTGCCAGTCCAAATCTGGAAAAAGGTGGGGGGGGGGGCATTGTCGTCTTCTCTGTTTTGGCAAAGAAATCCTTTTTTTTCCAGTTTGGGAGTTCTAGTATTTCTCGCAGGCGCCTAGTATCTCTCGCTCCTGCCTAGTGGGGAAAATGTAGCTGAATGGGTTGCTGGGTGGGTGGGTGGGCTCAGGGGTCTCCTAATAAGCTCTTGATGGCGGTGTCTCCCCCAGGTCCTCTGGGGAGCACCCTCAGCGCCCGCTACGGCGCGCGCCCGGTTGTGATGGCTGGCGGCTTTCTGTCCAGCGTGGGGCTGTTCCTGGCGTCCTTCTCCACCGGCCTGGTCCACCTTCACCTCACCATCGGTCTTCTCACAGGTAGGCGTGGTTGTGAACACTTGGGCTTCCCAGAGCATGCGCAGAGTGCTTTTTTCCCCCTTGATGCACGGGGAACAAACCGACCGACCGAAATTTAAGGACGTTGGAGGCCGAAATCTTCGGGGAAGCCAAGATGGGACAGTTACAGGTTTAGGGGAGATCAGCCTGAATTGAAGGTAGCTGACTTTCTTAGAAGGTAGAATAACAGAGGGACCTTCGAGGTCCTCTAGTCCAACCCCCTGCCCTAGCAAGAGATCGTACACCACTCTGGATAAATGGCCGCGCGATCTCTTCTTGAAGACCTCCGGCGATGGAGCAACCACACAACATCGGGAGGCAAAACCTCCCACGGAGACCTTATACCAGTAGTCCTCGACTTACGACGGTTCATTTAGTTACTGAAATGACAAGGGCACTGAAAAAAAGTGACGCATGACCGTTTTCACACTTACGACCATTGCAGAGCACCGCGGTCGCATGATCCAAATCGATCTGGTGACTTCCTCGTATTTATGACGGTCGCGGTGCCCTAGTGTGTGTGTGGGGTGGGGGTGTCACCTTTTGCGACCTTCTGAACGAGCCGAATCAGCGGGGCAGCCCAGCCACGTCGCTAAGTTAACAGCTGCAGGGATTCACTGAATAACCGTGTGCCGAAAGTCGTAAAATGGGGCTAAAACTCCTTTCGCAACCAGCAATAATGATTTGGGGCTCAAACATGGTCGTAAGTCGAGGACGGCCTGCGTGGAAACCACCCTCTCCATCGAGTTGGACCGCAGCAGAGGTGGGTTCCTACCGGTACGGTACGGTTCAGCCGAATAGGTAGTAATTCCGGCGGACACGTGTCCGTAGTACTAGTTCTATCCTCGGCGGCGCCATCTTGATTTTCTGTTCTGTTCATATGCACAGAACAATCTTCATTGAAAAAATGTATCCCCCCCCCTTTTTTTAAATGTTGCGCTCATGCGCAGACTGTTTTAACTGGCGTAGAAGACCACAGAGTTAATCCTTCTAGATCTTCTATGTACAGCCTAAATGTTGGAGGTGTGGTTCTCTCGATGCTACATATTTTCATATATGGTGGACCTGCCAAAAGGTTAAGGC